GCAGTGAAGCAATGGCAGCAAGAGCAAAACCGTTGCAGTGGTTTTGAGGCTTGACGAGCCACCGTTCATGTAAGAAAACCTACAAAAACAAGAAAGTGGAATCATGTGTGAGATTCAGAAAAGGAGAGAATAGAGAAGAGTGAAAGGAAAATACGAGTTTAGATTTTTTGAAGATTGAGTTGGAGAGAGGTGCGCACTTTGAGCGTATTGGAGTGTTCAAAGCCATTTAGCTTCCTTCTTCGTTGAGAGATTTTAAAAATTGAATTCTCAATTTAACTAGGTTTAGGATGAAACCGGAAGAAAATGAAAGAAGTGAGTGGGAAATTTTGAGAGAAAGAGAAAATAAAGGAAACTGGAATATTTTTACAATTTTACCATAATAACCTTTACTTTCCTAACTCAATATCCAAAATACCCCAATTTCAATTTATATTTTTATCATTTGATTAGAGAATGAAGAAACTAAGACTAAAGGAATATTAATTTGCCAAATGAAAAATTAAAAGAAATAGTCAAAATTAAATTGAAGTTTTGTAAGACACAACACTCCACCCACGTATAAATACGATAGAAACATTTATAAGATAAATGTAAATTTTGTAATGAAATAAAATTATTTGTTCATATGTATCTTATTTTGCCCGTAAAACTCTCTTCATATATTTTGAAATGTAAAAAAAAAAAAGGTTTACATATAAGTTATATTTTAAAAGGCCTACTCTACTTATAGAATATACCAAAAATATATAATATAATCAAGAGAATGAAATTAAGAGATCCAAAGTGGAAAACAAAAAGTCTTTAATCATATTTGAAGATAAAAAAAAATCACATTAATTTATTATTAAAATTTATTGAATGACATAATAAATTTTAATAATGTTTAGTATTTGATTTAAATTAAATAAATAACATCAAGAATATGTTTATTACTAATATATGTCATTTTAATAATACTAATATTTGATTTATATTAAATTAATAAAATTAAAAATATATTTATTATTAATATATGACACCTTTAATCAGGACCGACTCAATTAATTCAGAGGTCTTGTTTTAATTTTAAAAGTGGGATTAAATTTTAAAAAAAAATCATAATTAAAAAATACACACAAAAAATAAAATTATATATTTATCAAATGAAACATTAAAAAATTTAAAGGATTGTCTAAAATATCTAACTATTTTAAAAGAGCTTTTTTTACTAATACTTTTGAAGCAAATTCATCGATTATTACATTAAACTATTACCAATTACATTAAATAGAGGTAAATACTTCAGTAGTTCAGTTTGCTAGCTAAGGCAATATGATCCATGGTATAAAGAATTATAACATAATATGCCAAAAAAACAATTATTAATATGGTACAGCAAGTAACAGAAAAATTTGTTCTTTTAAAATCTATGACAAAGTAAATTCAAGGAAATGTGAAACATTAATTTTAAAAGTTGATGAAAGATATTTTCCACACAATCAGATAGCACTATTTTAAAAACACTACTAGTGAGGGGTAGAGCAGTTCTTTTAACAGCCCGAGCCTCTCTCATAAGGCACTGCTACCTTACGATCTTTTTCACATCTTACTAGTAGAGTTTTTGTTTTTCGTTGAAATCGAATTATAGGATTCAAGTATATGTTCAATCCATTTCCACTATCAATTGAGTCTGTTACAAAATGCACCAGATGTAAGAGGCGGATCAGCCGCACTTAGGAAGAGAAACACATCACCATAATCAGAATGTTTATTAGATATAAAATGGTTGCGAATCATGTTCATAAAAGGAGGGTTTTCGAATTAAGAGTGACCATGATTTCCATACACATTTAAGGATAAGGAGAAGGCAATATCATCAGGAATATGAAGATTTTTTCATACTTTTATCTTTTCAATCGCCTTAGTCATCGATGAAGATTTCTTCATCCTCGATTCAAACAAAACGAGTTTTTCTTGCAATCGAGGACTCAAAATATGGCTTCAGATTTAGGATGCAATTGCTGCATAGATGATGCACCCTCAAGAACCTGTTTGTGCTTCAGTGGCTCTTCAAGGATCATTGTGCTTAGATCAATCTAAGTTTACCTCCTGTTGAAAATGATTTATATTTTAGGAATGCCTTGTTGACTAATTTTGTTAGAGGGTATTTTAGTATTTTATTATACCCTAATATTTGTGTATAAATAACCTAGTAGTAGGTAGGTCAAAATATTCAGAGTCATCTTCTTCCCCTTCAGAATCAGAAAATGACAATCGCACTGGTTCCTCATCAGATTCATAAGCCATCAATAGTACAGGTTCATCATCTGAATCTTCTCTGACTATTTTTGCTTCTTCTTTGTTTGACCAACAATCTTTAGCAAAGTGGCCAAACCTATTACAACACTAACACTGAACTTTTGTCTTTCATCTCTCCTTGTGCACCAACGATTGGTATCTAGAGCTCTGGTTCGAAATCCACGAGGAAACACGGGAAACACAAGTGAACAATGAGGTGTTGTGTGATTGAGAATCACATTTTTCTGGTTCTGTGGGATTTGGGAAACACTGTGTGTTAGTGAGTTTTGAGTGTACTGCACAAGGTTAAAAATGAACAGAAACAGCGATATCAATTCCAAGCTTCCAGTGTTTGATGGCAAAAATTGGAATCGTTAAAAGATCAAGATGCGTGTGTTGTTCGATTCTCAAGATGTGTTAGATCTTGTCACTGATGGTTGTGCTTCATTAGCAGCAGACGCGACAGAGGCAGAGAAAACAACGCAGAAGGCGATAAGGAAGAAAAATCAGAAACCATTGTTCTACATCCATCAGTGTATGGATGCAAATGTGTTTGAGAAGATTGCTGACTCTGAAACAGCAAAGGTTGCGTGGGACACACTGGTCAGATGTTACGGTGGTGACGCATCAGTGAAGAAGGTGAAGCTTCATTCCCTAAGAAAGCAATATGAGAATCTCAACATGAAGGACAACGAGAAGGTTTCTGAGTACATCTCTAGAGTGATTCTGATCACTAATGAGATAAAAACTTGTGGAGAAACCCTTTATGAACAAGTAATCATAGAGAAGGTATTGAGATCTTTAAATTCTCAGTTTGATTACATTGTGGTAGCAATTAAACATTCTAAAGATCTGGAAACCAAGAGAATAGAAGAGTTGCAAAGTAGTCTAGAGGAGTATGAGTTACGTCTGACTGAAAGAACTTCTGAGAGGGAAGTTGAGTAGGCTCTGAAAGCTTCTTTTGTCAAGAAGGACCAGAAGCAGAAAAACATGGTAGTTTCCAGAAGTCAGAAGTCTTCTGTCTGATGAAAAGAAATATCAGAAGGGAAAGGAGAAGTATGGAAAGAGAATGGTTCAGTGTTACTGTTGTAATAGGTTTGGCCACTTTGCTAAAGATTGTTGGTCAAACAAAGAACAAGCAAAAATAGCCAGAGGAGATTCAGATGATGAACCTGTGCTATTGATGGCTTATGAATCTGATAAGGAACCGGTGTGATAGTCATTTTCTGATTCTAAAGGGGAAGAAAAAGAATCTGAATATTCTGACTCTATAGGAGTGTTTGAATATGAGTCGGAATCAGAAGATGACGCTGGAGAATCAAAAGATGGGTCAGACTATGGAGAAGATTCTGCTTTTGAAGATGAGTCAGAACTTGAAATTTCTGAAGGTGAGTCAGAGTCAGAAGATGAAGAATCTTCTAGAGACTCTAAAGATGAGTCAGATGGTGAATCTAATTCTGATCCAGATTTTAATGATGATCCAGAATCTGGTGGTGATCATGCTTCTAGAAGGGAAAACTCTGAAGACGTAGGTTCTGGAGGACAGACTTCTAAAGATGGTCATGTTTTTGGTGGAAATCATGATTCTGAACGTGGAACTTCTGAAGGAATAGCTTCTGAAGGTGATCCAACTTTTGAAAATAATATTTCTAAAGGTAGTGGTTCTGAACGAGGTCTAGAAGGTAACAAAGGTGGAGCTTCTGTTGGTAGTCAAACTTCTGGAGAAAGTCCAATTTCTGAAGCAAGAGCTTCTGAAGGGAAAAGTTCTGGTGTTCAAGGTTCTTAATTTCAAGTTCAGAGGCAACAAAGAGTCAGAAGCATCCCTAGAAGATCTGCAGATTTTGACAAGCTGCAAGATACTGAAGAGACTCTGGGGTATGGAGTGTTATTTCTTTTTGGTTTTAGATTAAATGCAAAGCTGATATGCTATCTAGACTCTAATTTGTATGAAGACAAAATTTACAGAAGAAGTACTTTAAAATATTTTTGTTTGTATCTGTAAAGTCCTATTACTTGGTGCTCCAAGAAACAATTGGTGGTTGCATTGTCAACCCGTGAAGCTCTCAAGAAGAAAGTGTGGCTGAATGCCATGAAAGAAGAATTTGAGACTTTAGAAAGAAACAAGATTTGGAAGTTAACTGAGCTTCCAAAGGAGAAGAAATCCATCAGCATCAGATGAACTTTCAAGCTGAAATCTGTTTTTCTGAATGGAATTGCACCTGTAGCACCCAGAAGCAGCTGACAAACGTTCTAACAAAGGCTATCAAGACTGATCAATTTCTTCGTTTGAGGGATGAAATTGGTGTTGTCAGTTTCGTGTAAATATAAATTAAGGGATTGTGTTGGAAATAATTTATATTTTAGAAATGTCTTGTTGACTAAGTCGGTTTGAAGGTATTTTAGTATTTTATTATATCCTAATATTTGTGTATAAATAGCCTAGTAGTAGGTAGGTCAATGTATTGAGAACTCCTTATTTTATAATCGTCATTCAATATATTTCTTTTATCTTTCATCTCTCTTTTGTGCACCAACACCACCCAGCCTCCATGCGTATAGATTCTCTTGCACTCTGATGTTGGTCCAAAGATTACTTTAGTAGCTGATAAACTGTATTGAGCTCTCTCTTGACCAGGGGTTTCTTGGAGTTATCTTGAGCTTCATCATTAATATTCTTTTGATCCATTCTCGCAAGAGATTCCTTCTTTGGTGGGTAATTAACATTAGGAGTCATAGCAGGAAAAAAAGTCAACAACATCATTAACTTGCAAATCACGAGTGAGAGTCTTGATTGTGAATTCTAGAGGCATGGATCTAACCAAGCATCTAGAAACAGTGAGTGAAAATGTGGCTCTGATCTCATCAATATTTTCAGCTTCAATGTTGTGCAATAAGCAATTGTTCACTTGGATTAGTTTGTCCGGCGTTTCACCACATAATGTTGTTTCGAGTCTGTCAGATGCATTAACAACCTTGGTTTCCTCCCCAAAATTAAGATGCTCATACTCTCCATTAGTTAAAACTGCAGTAGCAGTTGGTTTTCTTGACATGATTTTCTAGTCGCATATGCAAGAACTCTTTCAAGTAGGTACTCTGACAAGCAATCTTCGAAGGACATGCAATCTTCGAACGTGGCACTCTATTATAGAAAGACCGTTAGGGTCAAATTAGTATAAATAAGGATCTTAATGTTAGGATTCAGGGGTGTTCATTTTATACAAATTATTCAATACATTTGAAGTACCAAGTGTTAGAGAAAAGAGTTGCAGACACCATTATTGTTCTTTTCGAACTATTTTACTTTATCAATATCAAGTCTTCTAACATTTCCAGTATTTCCTCTACTTTTCAGTTAAAACTTTTATTTTTCAAGTCATTTACATTTATTCTGCATTTCCTTTACATTTCTTTACATTTCCAGTCGAAACCTTTGCACTGCACATTCGAAATCCTTTTATTCGAACTTACTTTAAATTATAATTCCAATCTTTATATTATTATCAAAAAAATAACGTTAAACATGAATCCCATTACAAGTTTAATCTTAGAAACTTAGACACATGTCCTAGGATCAATCTAGTCGATCCTGCAAGTTACCAAAGTATTTAGTTTGGAAGACTAGCGGTTGTTTACCAAATTCATGCGTAAATAAATTGGCACACCTGGTGGGACCGTGTCGAAGTTTTGAAAACTTGTATTTTTCTGTGAGCGTCTATCTTTCGTCGTTCATCTTTTGAGTCTGTCTTTCGTTATTGTTGTATGAACCGTAAAAGTGGTAAAATAGCCAACAGTAACCAACCAAAACTCAAAAGAAAATATACAAGAAAGATGGTTAACACAACTAGCCATGACGGAGAACAAAATCCCCCACAGGGATCAGGCACGATTGTTGCAAGTTCGATGGATACATCAACCACAATCCCTCACATGCAAGCCATACCTACATCTATAGGTTAGGTGGCCACAAATAATTCGACAACCATGCCTCTTACTTCGAGTGCAACGGGCATTCTGTCGAATGCCCAAACTGGTTCAGTTTTTGCAGATGTTGGGAACCAAGCCCAATTTTCAACCCCTAGGCCTCCAGGATTTAAAACATTTAGGCCATTTAGGAAACCACCACTATATGGAATGCCAACTTCTTTCATGGCAGGACTTCATAATAGTACAATAACAACCCAATCCCCGGTGCAAGGGTTGGTTATGGGATGAATAACATGGGTCGAAATACCCAGAATCAAGGGTCTTTTACCCAAATGCCTATACTGACAATGAGCAATCAGGAAGCATTTAGACAACAAATAGATGATAGTAACCATGATATGGTAGGAGTTCTAGCTAGAGATATGAGTACCATTTTCACTCCTTTGATCTAAAACATTAATAGAACCAATCAAGAAAATACCCACACCTATCAGCAAATGTCAGCGCAGATGGCATGCATAGCAGACTTCTTTGGTGCTTCTGAAGCGCTTGTTCGATGTAGGCAAAACCAAGCCCCATTTGTTCAGGAGGAAGAACCAACCATTAACTAAGTGCAATTACCTAGACAGGAGGTTGTCGAAAGAATCATATAATCAAGGGTAGAACAACAAAGGATTCAAAATGATATACAAGAGGAACAACCTAGGAGAGTAATGGTGGTTAATAGGGATCAAAATACAGATGAAGTGGTCCATAGAGTTAGACAAGATAACATGGAAAATAACTTGACCACCATGATCGAGAGAATCATGGCGCAAAATGGTCTAAATACCGGACATAGGAGATCAAATTATTCATCCCCTTTATCTGAATATATATTACAAACAGAATTACCAAGGGGTTGCAAAGTCCCTAAGTTTACAAAATTTTCAGGAGATACTAATGAATCCACCGTGGAGCATATAGCTAGGTATTTGAATGAAGCAGGGGATTTGGCAAATAGTGAGAACCTGAGAATAAAATATTTTCCGAGTTCGTTAACAAAAAATGCTTTCACTTGGTTTACTATTCTTTCACCAGGTTCTATAAATGCTTGGCAGCACTTGGAAAGATTATTTCACGAACAATTTTACATGGGGAAATCTAAGATAAGTCTCAAAGAATTGGCCAGTATCAAGAGGAAATTCACTAAACCAATAGATGATTATCTGAATAGGTTTCGTTTACTAAAGTCAAGATGTTTTACAGTGGTTCCTGAACATGAACTAGTCGAAATGGCCGCACGAGGTTTAGACTATTCCATTCGAAATAAATTAGATACCCAATATCTAAGAGACATGGCCCAATTAGCAGATAGGGTTCGACAAGTCGAACGTTTAAAAGCTGAAAAGATTAGGGCAAATAAAAATTACAAGAAAGAGAAGGTTGCTTATATCGAATCTGAAGAAGAGGAATAAGAAATTCTGAATGATCCTTTTGGCTTCGAAGAGCTTGAAATAGATTTGGAAGAACTGAAACAAGCACCCCCATACTCTTGTAAATTTCTTGCCCCATCGAATGACAAGGAATCCATCAAAACGGGAAAAGATGACAAATATCCTAAGAAAATGTACACATTTGATGTAACGAAATGTGATGAGATATTTGACTTATTAGTGAAAGATGGCCAGATGATAGTTCCCCTAAATGGTAAGATTCCTCCGTTGGAACAACGGAAGAAAAGGGGTTTCTGTAAATATCATAACTTCTTAGGCCATAAAAACTCACAATGCTTTCTTTTCAGGGATCTAATTCAGAATGCCATCAAGGACGGAAGGCTCAAGTTTGGAGAGAAAGCAAAAAGTCAGATGAAGATAGACATTGACCCCCTCAATGTGGTTGAAACAAATTATGATGATCCATTGGACATCAACATGGTAGAAGTGGTTGTTGGGGATTCTAGCCAACAGGTGAAGATGGAACAAAATAAGGCTACTTAAGGCTTCAAGTATGAGGATTCTTTCGATGGAATTGACTTTGTTCCAAATATTGTTGAAGTTCCATAGGATCAGGCTACAAAGGGAAATGTTGTTGATGGTGCAGCCCCAGAAGTTGAAAATGTTAAGGCTACTGAAGGCCTTAGAGTGAAATTCGAAGAGATGAAGATTGCTAAGGACTCAAAATATGCCTGTGGAAAGATTGAGACTACTGAAGGTCAAAATCTTGAGATCAACATGATAGATTTGAATCAACCTACCCCAGAAATGTAGGAAATAGAAATAAAACTAAAATTGGAAAATGATCAAATGAGAGACGGATATGCCAGAAGCAACGAAAGTATGCGTGGTTACTTGTTCCGCTGCCATGTGCAGGATGCTGATATGCTTACGTTCCCCAGATGTAGTATCTTCCATGATCAAAGGTCCGCAGCAGCATATGAGAGGATCCAGAAGGCGCAAACCGCGGGGAACTGGAGAAGTCCAAACCAAATACTGACTCCTTACCCCAAACCAGGGAAAAGTTTGTTAGGTTTCCTTGTGAGATATCAAAAAGCTAACTGTATAAGCTTGATGTGTGTTGCACCCCAAAATTTACCCTCTTGATTTAGGCTTATGTTTCATCATGAACATCATATTGCATTGCACTCATACATTGTGATAGGATCAAAGTACTTTGGTTACCAAGTTTTCCTCAAAGATTTGAAGGTTGACTACATGGACAAGTTGCTCAAAAAATGTCTTACCATCCAAATATCTGGATCTTTTAAGCTCAAAGGTTATGGCATATCTCAAGATGTTTTTACCCGTATCTTTGGATCATCATAGGATTAGAGCTTGTGTGTGATCACAAGTAGAATCACTCTTTGGATTCATCAGCCAAATTAGGGTTTGCTTAAGTAAGGCTATTGGTCCTTCCAATGTACAAGACTTGATTTAGGTAGCTACAACATTTCTTTGATACTTTGTCCTTCCAATGTACATTTCTTAGGATGCCCAGAGGATTTGAAGTTTTGAGGATGATTCATCAATCTCCTAATGTGTTGACCAAAATTAGGGTTGTGGTTTTCATCAGGTTTTATTGAGAATTTTGAAGTGAAACTTTTCACATGGCCTTTATATGTTTGGAAGATCATATGTTTGAAGTTTTGATCATCAATTTTGAAGGGAAGTGGATCAATTGATTCAGAGGAGCAAAATGGTCATTTTGGTCAAAATCAGTCAAAGTTAAGGTTGACCAAGTGAATTTTTGGCCAACCATCAATTCAAGGATGTACTTTTCATATTTAAAGTCCATTTTGGTCATTGGATTAAAGAGATTGAAGTTTGGGTTGAAACTTATTCTTGAAGAAACCCTAGAAGTTACTAATTTTGGAAAATAAGGGCCTAATTTCAAAAAATCATATTTTATTCATCCTTGATCAAGAAGATGCAAATGAAATATGCTTGGAAAGCTAAGAGAATAATCGTTCACCTCCTTTTGGTCTCATGCCCAAATTGGCAAGGAATCAAGAGTTATAGCCTTTTGAAGTCACAAAATTATGGGTCATTTTCTAAAATTAGTGAATTTCAAGCCAAATTTTGAGGACCTTAATGGATTAATTTGCAAAAACTCAAAACTAAGGGATTGTAGATCTTTTCAAGACCTTCCCAAATTGTGCTCATTTGTACCAAAATTCAAAAGTATGAGCAAGTTGTGGACTTTGGAATTTTGAGACTTTTCATTGAATTCATGCATGCCATGCAAATTGCAAATTGTTGATAACTTGATTTGTGGCCTTTTGTTTCACTTCAAACTTGGCCCATGACCAACATGCAATGCACCAAGGCCCATCATGCCAAAGTTTGAGCTGCACATGGGCAAATGGGAAGGGAATTCGTGGTTTTGCAAAAAATGGCATGAAGTTGCCTAATCACCAACACTAGTTTAATGCAAGGATTTAAGTCATAATCTTGTTGCTAATCTCTTCCTGGGGACAAATGGATTAAAATGAACGCAAAAAGCAAGCCAACGCACGAGAGATTTGAGGGTTGCACGTGCATACTTGATTTTGGCCAAAAGAAGATTTCTTTGATTCCAAGAGCTTTCAGCGCGAAAAACCTATCCTACCCTCCTCCTGATGCTCTATATATTGATAAGCAAGCCTCAG